CTGAAGGACAACTTGTCGAGAGTCATAGCGTTGAATCTCTCGATGGTTGGTTTGTGTGCTTTAACAGTTTGCTAAATGTCTTTGTTTTAACTTTCATCTGTGCTAAGTAACTTTAGCTTGTAGGCTAACCTGTTCAGATACAGTATACCATATGTATTTTCTCTGTCTCAAACTCAATCGCGTTGCTGTCACAGCACCATTAGGTCTCAGTTATTACCTTACGTTTTTGGATTATAGTTTAATGTGCTTATCTGGTACTGGCCCTGACTCAGTACATGCTATCATGACAGACAGCCATCTCAACACTAGTGTCTAATCAGGAGGAGAATAAAGTCATAAAGTAAAGTAGAAAAGCACTCGGGTGAGCAGACCTCCGCCAAGCAGCTCATGTCCCCCCGTATATAGTGATTCACACAAAAACTTTTAGTGTTACGTGTCTTTTAATAACTTTTCTTTGTCTTTAAACTGGTATGTTCACTGTTCATAATGTTCCTAAAACAAGAAATGCCCTGACCCGGATTCGAACCCAGGACTTTCTTGCTGTGAGGCGACAGTGCTAACCACTAAACCACTGTGCCGCCCATCTACACCACTGTGCCGCCCATTGGTTATCTTTCAGCATTGAAAATTCCAACGACACCCTTGTTTTTGTGTGTTCTGGATCCCAGTATCCGGAATTTTGGCCATTTTTATAGAGTTAAATACAAAAATTCGAAAATTTGCCCTATCTCACAATGATAAAGTATCCTTCAAAAAACTGGATCCAGAAGGCGATCTGGATCACCACCAAAATGTAATGGGATCCTCCTGGGGCTGAGACGCACCTCTGGTGATCTATATTCTCATATATTCTTTTTATACTTATGACAATGTTATGCTGATGTGCCAAAGAATGAAGTATCCCCTTGTTTGTGAAACCCATACTGAAGCACAGTTCCTTCAAATGCTTCATGGCCCTAATTTTTTTAAGTCTCCTCTGAAATAACAGGTAACCTAATGACTTTATTCTTGTAAATTAATTATTTTATTCTCATTAATTCACTTTAATCTCTAAGGGCTCTATTTTCGTGTACGCCGGTGAGGCGGCGGAGGGTGGCGGACCCCGTGCAGTTGTATTTTCATCTGGCACCAAGTGTCCGCCAAGCTGGGCGTGGTGGTGTGGCAGGGGGAGGTGCCGACAGAATCAGCTGGCACAGTGACATTTTCGTGCTTGCCAGCGGCGTATAAAGTGCGGTGAAAGCTCGCCGATTCAAACCTGGTCAGCTTTCAGCGCAGGCAAAACGCAGCTGGTCGAGTGGTATTTTGGTAGACCAGCGGCATATCGGCATACGTCACCGATGCCTCACCAGCAGGTTTCCACAGTGTCAGGCACATTTCAGTGCAATAAATAATCATCGACAACTATTAATCTGAGTCAGCACATACATTTAGATCTATATAGATATATTCTGATCTATATCTGATCTGATCTGGACTCACAACCTGACCCAATCAACACAGCTGAAATCGTATTAAACTAAATTAAATTTCTAGTAAATAGACACACATGATCAAGTTAACAAGATATGTAACTCGTCTCCCTGCTTATTTTTCTTCCTCTCCCTCTTATTTCTCACGCAGCTCGACCTGGACATGTCTCCGTATCCTCTCTCCGTCCTGCTCATCCTGAAACTTGCAGGGATGCTAGTGGACATGATAGTCTTTCTTAAATGTGAATATGAAGAAAAAACTTTTTTTGCTTCTTTTGCTATTTCCAATTTAAGTTTTTGGTCTTTAATAATTTTTTTGTGGTCCAATTTGGGAATAAATGTTATGAACAAAAAGATAGAACTTGAAGGGAGCTTTAAAATGACACCTGAATCAGCTCTCTAGGTACCATACTTCCAGAGATATGAACACTTTTGTAACGCATGTCATGCTAATTAGCCAAAAATTCATTAGCCCCTATCTCACTAATTAGATGGCTTTGAACAAAAATATTTGAGCTCTGACAGTTTCTCCTGAAGGCCAATCACTCCATCAAATTTCATCAAAATCTGTGACGTGAGTGGAGAGTCTTGGTTGCATTGACATGGAATGACCCAGTTGTACTGCAGCAGGTCATTTTCTAGTGTGTTGATAGATTCTTCTGTTCTTACTCTACTGTATACAGTTTGCTTGTTTGGCTTTTTTTTCTGTGACTGACATCAAGAACTGTAAACACTGGCAAGTGGTCACTTATGTCATTGATTAACAATCCGCTTATTGTGTTATTCTCAATGTCATTAGTGAAAATATTATCAATGAGAGTGGCAGAATGAGTCGTAATCCGGCTGGGTCTAGTGATTCTTGGAAATAGGCTCATACTATGTATTGTATTGATAAATTCATCTGTAGTATTGTGTTTGTTGGGATTTAATAGGTCTATATTAAAATTCCCACACACGAATATAGTTTTATTGCCTAAATTTGAAAATGTACTTTCCATCCACTCACTGAATGTGTCAGTACTTGACCCTGGTGTTCTATAAATACAGCTAACAATAACATTTTTTTTTTCTCCATGTATACTTCAATTGTAAGGCATTCAAGTAAATTGTCAATCACAGCTGTTGATCCATCCAACACCCTGAAATCTAAGGATTTATCAATATATATAGCCACTCCTCCACCACCATTACTCCTCCTGTTGTTATATCTGAGCTCATAGCCATCTAATTCAAAGTTAGTACCCTTTTCAGTGTCAATCCATGTTTCAGATATTGCCATTATATTGAATGGATTATGAAATGAATTTAAAAAGCTCTTAATCTTATTGAAATTTGCATATAAGCTTCTACTTTTGAAATGAATAAGTAATAGTTTGCCCTCCGAATTAATGTCCAGGTTGTATTGATCTTCTGTGTAGTAGCAGCAACTGTTCCTTATGGCAGAGAAAAAGTTGTTATCCGGATCAATATCCTGTTCCAAATCTATCTCATTGTAATCAGTGTGTTTGTTGTCTTCCAGCTCCAGTTGTTGATGTTCATTAATCCTCTGAATTATGTGGCTATGTTCCCCGTATGTAGAGTGAGCTGTTCCATTGTTGGTCATAGTTGTATTGTGTTTGTTACCTCCAGTGTCCAGTGCAGTTCACTCAGCTCAGTCCGGCTCATGGTGATCGTTGGTCCAGTGGATATAATCCCGTTCATGGCAGTTATTGGTATTTGTCCAGTTCAGTGATGTTCCTGATGCAGATCACCTTGGCTACCTCCGGGGTCCCGTTTAATTTAATGAATATTTTACAGTTTGAAGTCCATGAGTTTGGTATTTTCCTCTGTTTCTTGAGTTGACGTGCTTTTCTGGCTATATCAGCATTGTGTTTGGCTAGATGCTCGTTAAGGAAAACATCCTTTCCCCTTAGCTTCTTGCCCTGCTTCAGAAGTGCGCTCTTTCTGTTGTTAAATCGCAGTATTACGGCTGGTCTGTCACTAGCGTTCCTCCTGTGCAGAGGGTGGCACGCCTCGATGTACTTACAGTCCAACTCGACTCCCTTGGACTGTAAGAAGTCAGCTATCTGTTGCTCTGCTGAGTCAGCATCCAGCTCACCGGGCTCTTCTCTGCCATCCTTGGTCACCGCTCGCACGTATGACCGGGGCTTTATTTTGAGCCCAGTGATGATCACATCATTGACCCGCGTGTACTGCTCCAGGTCTTCGACTCTGCCTTCCAGATAGGTAATTCTCTTATCTTTTTCGGCATTCAGGAGCGGCAGAGCCTTCACTTCCTCAACTAGGTCCAGTATGCTCTTTTGCTGCAGTCGAACAGCAGACACTTCCTCCGTGATGAAGTTGAGCGATTTTTTAATATATTCGACTTCGTCTGTCGTCGGAGTTTTCTTCGGACCCATATCGCCAGTTTTGATAGTTGTGTTTAGAGTTACACACACACACACTTTGTGCAGGTTAAGATTGCGTTGCGTGCCTGACAGCGTGCCCACGTGTCACCTGCAAGTATTTAAACCAGTCAGAGCTGTTGTTGCCAGTTTGTTGTGTGTGCTCCTGTATGTTTGTATCAAGCCTGCCGGTATTTTGAACTCTGCCTGTTCTCTGTTTTGGATTTTGCCTGTTGACTTTGTACCTCTGCCTGGTTGGACTGGATTTTGTTTTTTGAACATTGTCTGTTCCCTGTTTTGGATTTTTCCCTTTGACTCTGTACTTCTGCCTGGTTGGACTCCATTTTGGTTACTTTTTCGGGTTTCGGACTGTTACTTGCCCCTTTGGTATGCTAATTAAAATTCTATTTTCTGTCTTGGTGTCATTCTGCACTTGAGTCTCTTTAGAACTGTGACAAATACTTTTACATTACTGAGTAGATAGTTTTGATTGTTTTTCAAGCTGAAGGTGTGTGTCCAGAAATCGTTGGACTGAAAGCTGCACGCTCATCCTGAGTGCACTAAGCTTTTTAACCTTTTTACAGTATATGATATGCTGGATGGAGAGGGACAGTTCTCACTATTTTATTGTTGAGCAGATTCATGACAGATGTGACACATTTCACATTTTAAACCAACTTACTTCTTCAAGTGAATGAGCAATGTGTAATTGCTGTAACTAAGCATTAAGGGTCAGGGTTAATTCACTGGACCAACTTAATAAGAAATTAACAACTGGACAAGGATGTGGAACTTCCGAAAGAGTACAACAACAATCACCCCATAGCAGCCTACAGTATCCCTCTACCAACACATGGTTTCAAAGAAAACAAAATGCTTTCTGCATTTTGTATTGCAGTTTGTGGAGCATTTAACTAGTTTCGCAATCCCACTCAATAATAAGGATATGAATAACAGTGGGAATGCTTCGCAATCCCACTCAATAACAGTATAATGAAAAAAATGAATGTATAAAAAATGGCGCAAGAATAATAAGAAAAAATGGCCAACAGGAATAACAATAAGTGGAAATGCTTAATCAGCATTTTCACTTAATTGTGGCGTGTGGTGTATTTTGTGGACCCAGAAGCAGACACAGAGGCAGATATCAAATTAAAGGTGTAATTTAATGTCCAAAAACACAGAAAAAAAAGGCATGAGAGAAAGTCCGGTTGGCTGGCTGGCTGGAGACACTGTTGAGAAGCAGAGGAGAAGGAGGTGAGAAGACATACAAGGAATCTCAGGGAGCAAAATTACTTAGCACTTAGCCGAGGAGAAGGCCGGGAGAAGCGTCTGTACCACTTGGGAGTGAAGACAATACTCAGGCACTGAGACTGAGGGCTGCTGGCTTCTTACAGGCCTTGATTGCAGATTCAGTGCAGGTGTGGAGTCTAACTCAGCCTCAGCGACCGGGGAGGGGGTGGGTGCTCTGGAAGAGAGTCAAGCCAGACCAGGCAAACAAAGAAAAACATGAAGTCCAACTAAAATAAAACAAGAGGAGGAGGCATCTCACCACATTAATAAAGAAACAGGAGAATAACAATAAGTGGAAATGCTTAATCAGCATTTCCACTTAATAATTAAGAAAGAAAATGGCCGATAGGAATAACAATAAGTGGAAATGCTTAATCAGCATTTTCACTTAATAAAGATATGAATAACATATAGTGGGAATGCTTCGCAATCCCACTAAATAATAATAAAGATGTGAAAAACAAATAGTGGGAATGCTTTGCAATCCCACCCAATAATAATAATAATAAAAATATGAATAACATATAGTTTGAATGCTTCGCAATCCCACTCAATAATAATAAAGATATGAAAAACAAATAGTGGGAGTGCTTCGCAATCCCACTCAATAACAACAGTATAATGAAAAAACTCATGTATAAAACAGCATTTACATATAGATAAATAGCAGTTTAAAAAAGCACTTCAATATTCTCTAGACACAAGAACTAGGAATCTTTACTCTTAGCTCCTATGTTCCATATTGGCAGATCACAAACCATTATTATGGGGCAAACCAGGACTACTTGTTGCCTTCTCCAGGGTCAGGGCTGTCTACAGTGGCTTTAATTTTGCTCCAGACCCATCTAGCCAGCCTGTTCATCCATGTGTTTGAGCTCCTCCAGGTTCAGTCTTCTAACCCAGGTCTGAGAATGCAAAAATCTGAAAACTCACGACAATCTTATATTTAGAAATGGTTTACTTCATATTATGTCTGCAAAACTATCACATGGCCTCTGGCCTCTTCGTTGACCTATTCCCCGGTCTCTGCCATGGCCCCTAGCCAAGCTGTCCGGCTTGTGGTGGCCTGCCTCTGGGGCCTTCTCTACTTCACCTTGCTGGGCCTGGGGTGTATTCAATCTCATAGTCAGGGCTGGAAAAAGCGCCAGAGAGAGTTGTTTTGTTTTTAATTTGCCACAGTCTACTTTTGTAAGCCTGTATGCAGGAAAGCTAGCTGCTGTGGCTAACTCTAATGTCAATAGAAAAAACTAACGCTCACTAGCTCAGCTGGTAACGGTGAGCTAGCTGAGCACAGTTAGGCAAATTAAAATTTATAACAACACAGCATGTAACCGTGAGTTGTATGTAAAGATAAAAAGTTGACCTTAGTATCAGTGAAATTCTTCTTACCTCAGAATTGGACATGGTTGAAGTCTTCTTGCTGGAGCAGAGACGGAGGGGAGAGGAGGAGCTGAGGGGAAAACTGGTGGGGAGGGGTAGTGTTTACATTCAAGATTTCTCCCAAAAACTGGTACTAACTCAGATCCTGCCTACCCCACCTTTGAGGGTAGTTTTAGTTTTGATTGTTTTTCATGCTATTCAACGTCCAGACTAACACCTAAATGCAAACACCTAGATATAAGAGTTGTAGATTCCAAAATATTTAATAGAGATGTTGGCTGAAGTGTAAGTTTCTGAAATAATGCTTAAAGTAAAACAATAGGGTCTTTCAATGACATTGTGAAGTGACAGTGACATTTGGTCAGTCAAAGCAATTCTAATGTCCATGCACGAGAAAACGATGTGCAAGGGTGTAAATGTGTGGTTGTATTAGACCAAGACTGACAGACTGATAAAGAGAGAGAGGAAACTGTAAGTGGATAAACTGTAAGTGCGTGTATGATAAACACACAAGTGCACACACGCAGCAAGAAATGTATCTTAATTGTGAGAGCACATCTCTGATGGTGTGAAAGTGTGTCTAATATGTTTGCCTAATGAAAATGTGTCTTAGGCTGAGATAGAGAGAGAGAGAGAGAGAGAGAGAGAGAGAGAGAGAGAGAGAGAGAAATAAATCCAATAAGCTCCTCCGTCATGCTCCCCTCCTTAGCATTTTCAAAGATCCACTGAATGAAATAAATAGGAGATTCTTTCTGCTTTTGTCACTTTCTCCTTTTCATCTCTCTCTCTCTCTCTCCAGTGTTGCAGTGGCATTCTGTCATTCACCACAGCTCAGACCCCCCCCCCCCCCGCATAAGTGTGAGTCTACCACAGAGTCAGTGGAGCTGTTGATAACAAAGCTAATTGACTGTTCTTTAAACTCTGCCCCCAGCAATTATTGTCCAATCATAGCTTGCAACCACATCTAGCTCAAAATTACCTTCATTTTGAATGTGAGGCATGAAAAGTCATGTTTTGGACCTGAAAGGTAAAAAAGAAGGATTTAAAAGCTGTTAATCTGCTACAACCAAAGATGCAACCTTTAACATGTTTAGCTTGCTGTCTTTGTCCTTATGCTAGTCTCAAGCATAACTGTAAAGGCCAAGGAGCATCTTTGCTAACCTTTTTTGAAAACCTTTGTTTTGTTGTGAAAGTTAAATCGATCCTATGGTGTTATTAAGCTAACATTAGCTTAATTTGCTAGCTAGCCTCAGTTTGTCTGACCTGTGAGTTACAGTAACTGACACTAGTTAATGTGTTTAAAAGATGTTTTTGCCTACAACTAAGCCCTGACTAGCAAGAATGCCATTTAATTTCTGACACTAAAAGGGGCTATAAGATTTTAACTTTACCATGGAAACTTAAGTATGATTAGTACTAGACCAGAGGCATCAACAAGGTCAGCATAGCAGGATACTTTATCCTCACCCTTAACTTTTCGTAAAAAACCAGCACCACACCAGTGCCACATTATAAAGTAATTGACTGCCATCTAGACTAAGAGGTCCTTTCAGTTCTTTCGTATTCTGCAACTTGTGTGGCCAAAGTCAATTTACAACCAATAGCTTTTGATTGGTTGCAGCAGATAGCTCCTAAAAACTGTTTTTCACATGGCTGAGGAGTACAAGGCTTTGGGCTCTATTTCCGTGCTTCTCCGGAGACGTGGCGCAGTCGTGGCATACGTCAGGTCCGCTGCGCGGACAAGGCATTCCCAGGCACAATTTGGTATTTTGGTGAGCGGTGCAGCCCGGCATAAGTATCCCCCCTCCCTTACTCAGTTCCTCCCAGCGGCGTAAGTCGTAGCGAGGGAGGAGAGAGGGCGTGAACTGGGTTTAACACAGCCAAGACCTGTATTGACCAATAACATCAGCCACCGGCGAGACGTATTACAATTTTCATGAAGTAGTCAAAGAGATCAAGAGATGTCTGAAGACAGCAATGCCACACGATGGCGACAAAAGGCAGCCCCTCAACAAGTGTCGCTGTAAACGCTGGAGAGGGCGTCCTTCACACTCTCTCATATGAGCACAGATGGATTTGGTGTGTGTAATGTTGGACCCACTAGTAAGACAAACATCCCTTTCCACATATAAAGACACTCACATAAAGTTGCACATATTCAAACCTCACGTGACAAAGGTGGGTTTTGCGCAGAGATCACATCATAAATTCCAATAATGGCATTAAAATCGGAACCATCTGAATATTATAATATTCATATGTGGGCTTAAAGTAAATAACTTATCTGATCACTAAAACAAATCATCTGTTCAGCCGCCGCAGCAGCAGCTGCAGTAGGACGGGGAGAGGACAGGGAGACATGTCCAGGTCGAGCTGCGCGAGAAATAAGAGGAAGAGGAAGAAAGAAAAGGAGGGAGACGAATTCCATATCTTGTTCACTTCATCATGTTTGTCTATTAACTAGATATTTAATTTAATTTAATGTGGTTTCAGCTGTGTTGATTCGGTCAGGTTGTGTGTCCAAACGCATGCCAAACGCGCTCATCAAATCAGATATAGATCAGAATATATCTATATAGATTTAAATGTATGTGCTGACTCAGATTATTAGTTGTTGTTGATTATTTATTGCACTGAAATGAGCCTGACACTGTGGAAACCTGCCAGTGAGGCATCAGTGACGTATGCCGATACGCCGCCGGTCTACCAAAATACCACTGCGTGGGGTCTGCCACCCTCCGCCGCCTCACTGGCGGACACGAAAGAAGAGCCCATTGACTTAACTGAATTTGAACTGCACACCTCACCTTACTGTGAGAAGTGGGGCCAGTATATGGCTTCAGTGGGCGCTTACATATTGCAATGATGGAATGGAGGCACGCTCAGAAGGTATGTGGTTGAGGTTGCACCCCTTCTGCAGCATACATGTAATTTACCAATTTAACATCAAAGTCCAGGTACGAAAGCAGATTCTTGAGTTGAGTTGAAGCAGAAACTCAGAGTTGTCATTCCCTCTTTTTAGCATCAAGTAACTAAATAAAACTTTGACTCCTGCTCTGTCACATTGGAAAAGGCCTTTTTGACATGTACTGCATTAGGCCACCATGGGGGAGCCCCAGAAGTTTGGGCTTCTGGATATAGTATGAAAAGTTATTCATTTCTCATAGCTGTTGTTCTGTTCATAATTTTGTACTGCTGATGGTTCTCACTCAGAAAAAAGTTTAGAAGTTTGTCAAATTACAAAAAACCTACTGATGGTTTGCTGAACAATAACTCCTAATAAAACTGAAACAATTTAATATTTTAGCATGATTTATTATTATACAATCAAAACAGCACAATACACTTTTCCTAATCAGTGAACTATTTCACAAAACACATCACTGTTCTTCTGCAGTATCTTTGTTCTCTACATATAAATAGTGTAAATTATAGTCACATAAATATTAAACTATTTGTTGTTTTTCACACAAGCCCATCAGAAAAAAGTGCAAATAAAATGTTCAGTGCTAATAGCTTATTAGATTTTACGTTTAATGTTGAGTAGCCTTAACAAAGCTACATATTGAAAGGGTCAAAAGGCTGATTGTTAAGGAAAGCTGTAATGGACAAATTAAGGAAAAATGATGCCCAACAGGTGGTGACAATAAAATCAGGCGGGAGTAAAATGGACCTCAGAGGCAAGAGGATAAAAGCAAAAAAATGTCCAGAGAATGGGTTGTGGTTATTGAGAGGGGTAAAGGTCAAGAGGAAGGAAAATGAGGTGAGAAAAAGACAATGAGGATGCTGAATGAGAAGAGGGAGGCAAGGAAAAGGTCAGAGAAGAAAATCAAATGATGGATGAAAAGGCGCAATCAAAGAAAAGGTCAGGAAGTAAAGAAAAAAGTGAAGGGGGGACTCTACTCAAGAGTTTGTACACTTTCAAGCCAGTAACGTTAAAAACCTGCTGAACTTAGAAAACCATAAACGTTACATCCTGGCCCTTTTCACATGTTTGTATTGCAACCCATACATGTAACTTACCCCGAGACACACTGATTCAAACTCATGTATATGGAAATGGAAGACTTGAACAGATTAAAAATACTGATATGTACAAATGAGGCAGAACATGACCCTTATATTCTGTAAGTAGATAGTATGTGATGTGCTTATATCTATGTTAAACAACATAGACCCTATATCTAATGTCAAATAAAGTCATTATCAAACACCAATCCATCAATCAACACATATTTCAAGATAAATCCATACCATATGGATCAAGATATACAAGAGAATAAGAGAGATTACCACATGCATGCATAGTAAAATTCCTCATAGTCCCGATGTGGGAGTTTAACACCAAACACAACCATGAGAAGAAACCAGATGATGGTTATGTTACAGGAAAAACAGTGTCTGTAGGTGTTTTGGCGCATTCACCGTCGTCTTGGTGTTACATAGCAACAGTCTATTATTTCTTGATGGCAGACCTTTGCTAGGTTAAACTCATCATAAATTACGTTAGGGCTGGGATCACAGGCTTGACAGATCTTATAAAAGTGAATGAGAGGTCAAGTAAATTCAACATCTGCTTACATTGGGGAAACAAAAAAATGAGACAAACACAGAATTAAAAAACTTGGAGGCTTTGATTGATAGATCAACAAAACAAGACATAGCACATATGGAGTAATCACTGAACAGATCACAGTACATGATGGTGTAAGACTGTTAAATGGAAAACAAAGCACAGGCAGACAGATTCATTCAGGTAGGGCACTGATTTATGCTGCCCTGTTTGTTTTACTCCACCATCAGTATACATGTTAAGTTTGATGTGAATAGTAACAGTTAGCTTACCTTAAGTAAACTTTAGTTTAAAACAAAGGCTACGTTATCCACATATTTTCCAAATGTACTTTTTGAACTGTGGTGGAAAATTTGAAGGCTGCATGTCATTTCATTTAAAAGATTAGAATAAAAGTCTGGTGCTGCAAGGTCCTACACAAACCTATAACAATGTTCACAGTTTCACTCTAGCACTTACAGAAACATTTGCATGGTTGTGTAAGCATGACTGCACACAGGACAGACCAATAAGGAGGTTGCTTGAATCTGAATCACATGCTCCCCCTCCCTCTCCCCAGTTCGCCTAAAACTTTTCTGTCTTAGACGCTCAGTGACTTTATTGAGCTGGAACCCAAATGCTCAAAACTGCACTTCCTTGAATATCCTATTGAGGCTGGCTGTAAAAGCACTGGAAGCCATACACATCCATTTGTAAAAGCCCATTTTTACATTAAAAAAAGACATGTCTACAGCCTGGTCTACACCTAATTTTTCACCAGCACACAATGTACAGATGTTGGTTTTTATTCATAGCCACATAATTCTGAGGATCTGAAGGTTAAAGGATTTGGATGAGCAAAGGCACAGCCGACGTCACTGACAGGCTGATACATGTAATTTATCAATCCTCATGAATATTCACCCCAGGAAAAGTAAGTGAGGCTGTTTCTTCAGTGTACCTCTTTCTTCTGAACAGTTACAAGCATTAAAAATTGCAGTACAGATTTTTACTATTCTCATGAATGGTCTCATTTGCCACTGTTCATCATAGAGATACTTAGCTAAAAAACCCTCAAAGGAACTTTTAAGTACTCAGAGCTTTAAACAACATGGACAGGGTCTGAACATAAAATTTGATTTAATTGTAGGTTGAGAGATTGATCCAGCGAAATAACTTGAATTAAAATGGTTGTTGATGACACATTATGGCTGACCTTTTCATGACCCTTTTATGCATCCTCAGATTTAATGTGTGTAACAACAGCTAAGTAAGCCAATTCTAAGAGAGCTAAGAGAGCTATAGAGATAAATATTACTATGGATGCATCTTAAACTGTGAATGATTATTTGATTACTTAAATATATATCATTTCCAAATCAATTAAACCTTTTCCAAATCAATGTTGTAAAATTGTACATTTTTAAAGCTCCTGTGAGGAACTTTCCATTTGGATTAACTGTGGTGCCCCCTGTAGAAAAAGCAGTCTTTGCTCATCTGGTCATCTGCATATCTAAGTAGTGTCTTCTGACAAATATCTCATCCTGCTGAATTTTGACAGTCAAATGTGTCATTTCATGTGAATATTTAATGATAAAATTGTAATCGTCTCTTCAGCTGCTCAGCTGACACCCACCCCCCTCACACTGGTCTCAGGCATTAAGAATTTACAACATGAAAATGGTCAGTTTTGCTGCTGTTGGTCTTATTTGCTTTCATACATCATGAAAATGCACCAACATGGATTCCAGTCAATTTTGCTAATGGTAATAGCAGCTCAATGCGTAGTGTGTTGCGAGTAGGACGTATGCCCCCACCTACTCATCCTGAGAGGGGTTTCTCCACTAAAACAACCTGCTGAATTCTCTACTATCTCTTTCAACTGACCTGTTAACTTAACTCAGAAAAAAAAGAAAGCTTTAAGAATTTTCTCATTAGATTTTAAGACCTACAATCATTTGCACAACACCTGAAATATAAACATAAGTATTACAGATGCATTCATCCATTGAGTTTCACACACGCACAGGTAGAATCAGCTTTTGAGTGCTTTCAAATGAGTCAGGGTCTGCTATTCCCAGCAGCAGAAGTTTTAAGTAGGTTTGATACACTTTAAAAGATTCACACCATTTACCTGAGCGATAAGCTGCTATACACTGCTCTTTACTTGTAAAAAAGAGGAAACTTTTACTATCTTGTAGTATACGTTGTCTAAATAAGAGAAAAGAGGCCCAGAGTCAGCTCCTGAGGAATTTTTCCAAAGGTGACTTACGAAGCAGGGATGTGGTGTGTTTGCATACTCATATATAAAGAGTAAATATGTACATTATATGCATAGACTCTGTGTATAGTATACAAGTGAGCTGTGTGCGTAGATTAAAGAAGGGGAGGGGGGACTATCTAGGCCTGTGTAGTGGACCTACAGTATATGTCTTCTGTGCCTCCAGGAGTGAACATTTCACAGTCATTGTCCGCCTTGTTACGCTTCACCTCATAATTCCAACCCTCAGTCATGGATTGGACTGTAAGTCTGCATGTTTGTGCATTTATGTATGTTTGTGTGGAAGTACAGTATGCAAAGCTTGTTGGCATGAGTAATGTGGTTGGAAGCTGGGAGTCAGATTGGCTGAATTTGAGCTGAATTTAAAATAATTGACTTTATCAGATGAAGCCTTTCAAACCACACACGCACGCACGCACGCACGCACGCACGCACGCACGCACGCACGCACGCACGCACAGGGGGCTTGGGGGAAAGGCTTGAAAATAAGTTATTGAGAAAAGCAGCATTGCTATTTTCTTTATTGCTGTTTGGAAAATTGCTCACTTGGGGGTTGTCAAAGCAGCTCCTCATTTACTGTGAGCACCTGTGCTGAATGTGTGAAGGTGTGTGTTTTGCTAGTGGCTGCCACACTGCCAACCCTGTAACACCACATCATCGCAGACTCCCAGTGATGCCTTGCAAAAATTACGAATTAGAGCCAAAAGAAAAAAATAGAATAAAACAAAATAAAGAAATAAAAGAGGAGGACACCAGGGGGCCGAAGGACTAAAGAAAGCCAAAGAAAGAGGACGAAATTTAAGCTTTGACAGGAGGTGAAGTTTGCTCATAAAGCATATCACTCTGAGGCTGCAGAGTGTGAAATGGTCAGCACTGTTCGAGTGGAAGTCATGACAGTTTGAGCAGGCTGGCAGAAACAGGCAGCAATGTTCGAAACACACATGAAATGATACACAGTGGCCTTGGGTGACTAATTGCACAATCAGCATTTTTTTTTTTATGACTGCAGAAGACATGACTGACCCTGTATATTCACTCTATGAAGCTTCAGGAAGTTTTTCTGTTTACTAATGCAGAGTTTTACAGAGCCATGAAAGTAAAATGTATAATACAGCTAATGTTATATAAATGATAACATAAACTTTTTGGTCCCTGTGACTCATTTCTTTGACACAGAGGAGTAGTCGTGTCACTTTAGAAGATTTGTCTTTTTAAGGATTTAATGATTTTTTAAAGTTGTTTTTCATAAGAACCAAGTAGTAGAATATTTATTTTCTAATGAGATTTAAGTTGTAGTAAAATAATTTTCTTATGTAAATAGTCATTTTGATATGTTAAGAGTTTGAAGTCGTTACATTCCAAAAAAC